TGATGGATGGCCTCGGCTTGATCTCAATCTGGTACTGGCTTAGGAATATCGCCCATTTGATCATCCTTGGAGAGCTGGTTGGGCTCCTCATGAGGGCGCCCAACGGCTGATGGGTGAGGACGTGGACGGGGTGAGCCTGGAAGTAGTGCCCAAGTTTTTTCACCGTGTGGACGATGGCCAACACCGTCTTCTCAATGGGGGAGTACCTGAGCTCGGCCTCCCGCAACGTCTTGCTGACGTAAAATATTGCTTTTTGTACCCCGTCATCCTCCCTGATGAGTACGGAGCTGATGGCCGACGTGCTCACTCCTAAGTAAAGGAATAGAGTCTCGCCGGGTTGGGGTTTGGATAGGACGGGTGGGGAGGCGAGATATTGTTTCAGTTCTTCAAAGGCCTGTTGGCACTCCGTCGTCCACTTGAAGCTGGTGGCCTTTCTCATTATCTGAAAGAAGGGGAGCGACTTCTCCGCGGATTTTGAAAGGAAACGGTTCAGGGCCGCAAGGCGTCCCGTCAGCCGTTGGACTTCTTTGATGTTGCGGGGTGGCTCCATATTGATGATGGCTTGTATTTTCTCTGGGTTCACTTCAATGCCCCTTCGGCTGACCAGGTACCCCAAGAATTTACCTCCCTGGACGCCGAAGGTGCACTTCTTCGGGTTGAGCCGGAGGTTGTACTTCTTCATGATTTCAAAGATGCCCCGGAGGTCGTCGGCATGAGTTGTGGATTGTTTGCTCTTGACGATCATATCGTCGACGTATGCTTCCATCGTCCGACCTAAGACTGCTCTAAAAATCCGGGCTACCATCCTTGTGTAGGTGGCGCCGGAGTTCTTGAGCCCAAAGGCCATGACGAGGTAGCAAAAGATTCCCTCCGGGGTCATAAAAGCAGTCTTCTCCGCGTCATCTTCGTGCATGGATATCTGGTGGTACCCTCTGAACGCGTCGAGGAACGACATCAACTCGCACCCCGCCGTCTCATCCACCAATTGATCAATGTTGGGGAGAGGGAATGGGTCCATTGGGCACGCCTTGTTCAAGTCAGTGTAATCAACACACATTCTGAACGTGGGCGGCTTTGGTGCGAGGACGACGTTCGCCAACCACGTGGGGTACTTCACCTCTTTGATGTGCCTGATGGAGAGCAGCATGGCCACCTCAGCCTTGACAAATTCCCTCCTGTCGGCTGAGAGGTAGCGCTTCTTCTGCTTGATGGGGGAGGAGGCCGGGTTCACCGATAGCCGATGCGTGATTACCTTCGGGCTGATGCCCGGCATGTCCTCTGGTCCCCATGCGAAGACGATGGCGTACGCTCTCAGGACAGAGAGGATGTCCCTTCGGATCTGTTGGGGGAGCTGTGTCCCAATCTTCAGCGTGCGTTCCGGCCGGGAGACGTCCAACGGAACGTCTTCCACGTCTCCGACCGGTTCAGCCTTTGGTGTGTCTTCTTCGGCCGAGGCGGTGGTGATGGTATCTATCCGCTCCTCGGCCTCATTGATCTTCCTGGTGAGCTTCAGGTAGCAAGCTCTAGCTATCTTCTGATTTCCTCTTGCGTAGCCGACGCCGTCCTTGGTGGGAAACTTGAGGCAGAGATGTTTCATGGAGATGATAGCCTCAAGGTCCTCCAAGGCCGGTCGGCCCCAGATCATGTTGTGGGCGCTGTCCAGGTTGACGACCACGAACTCCATGTCAATCTTCGCCTGACAGGTACCGTCACCGACCACAACGGGAAGCACTATCGTGCCCTCGGCGTCGATAGAGTCCCCGGTGAAGCCGGATAACGGAGTCCGTATCGGCCGGAGCTCGGTCTTCTTCAACTTCAGCTGTTTGAATGTATCAACGTACATTACATTGACGGAGCTGCCAGTGTCGATGTAGTTGCGGTGGATGATGTTATTGCCAATCTCGCATTTGACGACGAGGGCGTCCCTGTGGGGCAAGGGGCCGAAGGGAAGGTCCTTGTCGGTGAAAGTGATAGCTTCCACGCTCCGTCGCTTCGGCTGAGGGGGGGCGTGGGACACCTCACCAACGTATAGGGATTGAGCCCATTTTTTCCGTTGGGTAGCCGAGTCCCCCCCCCTGTGTTCCCGCCGACGATGATGTGAATGTGATGTTTCTTCTGGCGGGGCTCCTCTTCGTCCTCATCTTCACTGAGGGCGCCGATCTCCCTCTTTTTCCCGGAGGATCCTTCCCCCCTTTTGCCAGGGTTAACCCAAGTGTTACTCTTGGGGGCACCCTTGACAAATTGGGAAAGTTCCCCCTGTCGGACGAGGCCGTCGATGTGCCTCTTCAAGGTGGTGCAATCTTCGGTCTTGTGGGATGTCTGGCGGTGGTACTTGCAGTATGTCCCTCCTTTGTGGACCGCAAATATCTCCTCCTCTGACCTGGGGTCCTTCACAATGAGGCCCTGCGCCTCGGCGTGGTCAAGGACGACGCTCACCGGGTGGGTGAGGGGGATGTGTTGTGCCTCCAACTTGGGACGCCATGAACGATCCTCTCTTCGCTGTCCGCCTTGCTCCTGGTGTGCCTTCTTTGGCTGGTGCTGTCCCTTGTTGGCCGGCGGGTGGTGGGGGTTGGACGAGGAGTCCTTCTTCTGTTGCTTCTCCCCACCCTTCTTCTGGTTCAGGAGCTCATCGGTGTCGGCGTGCCTGTCTCCGCGTCGGAGCGCCGCGAGGTATGACCGCGGGGGCTCTGTGAACAGGCTTCGGGCGAAGTGGCTCGGCCGAAGTGCTCCGCGGAGGAAGGCCAGGAGGGTGCGTTCATCGGCTCCTTCACATTCGTCCGCCTCCCTCGTCCAGCGGTCGAGGAAGGCTCGTAGCGTCTCCTCTGGCTGTTGTTTGATGGTCAGGAGATGAGCGAAATGCTTCTTCGCACGTTTTCTTCCGGCAAAGTGGGTGAGAAAACGTTGAGCAAGGTCCTGCCATGAGTCGATGCTTCCCTCCGGAAGGTTGTTGAACCAATCGTACGCTGGTCCCTCCAAGGTGGATAGGAACCAGCGACACATGTACTCCTCCGAAGCATTGGTCATCATCATATTGTTCTGATAACGGGTGAAGTGCTCCTGGGGATCAGTGCGGCCGTCATATGGCTTGATCGGGTTCCCCTTGTACTTCTCTGGGATGGGAGCGGAGAGCACCCTCGCAGAGAAGGGGGTCCGGGTCCGTATTTGGATGACGGGCTCGTCGCGTCGGTCGGCCAGCTCCCTTTCCAAGGCACTGACTTTGTGAAGGAGTGCATCGTAGTTGGGATGCTGGGATGTATGAGCCGCTGCGCGCCCTGCGGCCTCCCGGGCCTCCATGTCAGCGAGGCGCTTTTCTAGGCGAGCAATGATCTCGTCCCTTGGGTCCGTGTTGGCCGCAGCGCCACCTAGAGGGGTCTGGATCCGGGCCGCGTGGGCCAGGTTGATCTGGTGACGCGCATCATCATCATTCAGTTTTCCTTTGCCTTTATCTGGTCGGGGCCGATCCGTTGTCCGGGAGACGGACCCGAAGCTTTCCTTTGGCGAACCCGGCTCGTGGTTACCCAACCGATCCGCCACCCTTCCCGTAGGTACCCGACGGCTCGCGATGTCACCCAGCCTGTTGAAGGCCGAGATTTTATCACGAGGTTGGGCCGGTGTATCCCGGGTAGGAGAGGCAGTATGGGAATGGGTGTCCACGGCGAGGATGCCTTCGTCGTTGCCGAAGAAGGTGACGCCCTGTGGCCGAGGCGGCGGTGGTGGCACCGTCGCGACTTCCCCAGTCACGGGAGTGTTGTTTTCCCCTGTCTTTGCGACGAGGGCGCTGACGACGTTGGGGTCCTGGAGAATGCTTGCGACGATGGCCGATAGTGCGGCCGGGTTGATCTGGGGGGGCAGCAGGGTGAGAAGCCTGCTGACCCGAAGCGCGATCAGCATTGCGCCTGTCCTCGAGCCCGATGCGGGCGTCTGGGGCAGTCTTGTTGAGCTGGACGCGGAGGTCAGCCGCTGCGAGCTCGACCTCCTGAGCGTTCTCATCCTGAATGATGAGGTCATTGGGGACGTTGTCAGCGACGTTTCCCTGCCCCTCCTGGTTCAGTGGGGCATTCCTACCAGTGTTCTTTGACCTAGTTCTTGTCATAGCTGGCGGTAGTGTCTGGTAGCGACGAAGGGTACTCACTTGATCTGTTCTAGGCTCTCAATGAAAGCACCAAATGATAGAGTAATTAATTCTAGAGAGAAGTGAGAGCTAGAGAGAGAAAGTGAGTAATTATATTTCTCAACTTGCCCATCCCCCATAATTAGCCCCTTGGGGTCTATTTATAGGTAAAAATGTGGATTTGGGCCCCTAGCCTTGGGCTTAGGAGGCCCATCACAATAATCATGCCTTCTTTGGGCAAATAAGGCCACTAATGGGCTGAGTACAACACTTAGTACATAAAATAGAAAAATACATTCTGTCCGGGCGAAGTTCGGACGATGCGGTCCATGGATGACGCGGTCCAAATAAATCAGGCGATATCTTCTTTCTTGGACGCTGCATGCCTCTGGCCGATGCGGGTGTCCCGCTGGTGTCTTTTGGGCCATTGAGTATGTGGGCTATGGGGTCCAGGCCCATATACTCTATCAAAAACATTGTAGCATCATAATAGTAAAATGAACTTCGGCCGGGTCGGGTACTATCGGGTTTGAGATTTTAATTCCACAACCCTACCCATTAGGTGCGGGTTCAAACATATTTAACCTATGAATATTTTTTAAAATCAAATACCCGATTAAATAGGATCGGGTAGGGTTGGGTCGGGCGAGTTATGCGGGTTCGGATCATTTTTTAATATCAAATTCATGCTTCTTTCGTTTTTTGTTAGTTGCTATGTATTCTTCTTTTTATAAGTTTAAATTCATGCTTCTTTCGTTTTTTGTTAGTTGCTATGTATTCTTCTTTTTATAAGTTTATTAATAGTTGATCATATATCAAGTAGAGAATAGATAAAACCTTACATTTCTACCGTGCTAATTTCAAATATAGTTACAACATTTCCATGCTAAACCCACTCAAAATTCAGTAACTCACAAACTCATGGCCTTTGGTAATTAGAAAAATATCTCCAAAATAATAGAAAAGTGAAACAAGGCAGACTGTGCTCTTTTGATTAGCTTTATTCTACTTCGATTACTCTATTTAAAGGTGGTATTATACATTCTTAGGACTTTTAGAATAATAAATAACATCATCTCAATAGATTTAAAGATGATATGTTTCACATCTAAGAATTCAATGAGCCACCTATTTTTAAACAAGCAGAATAATCTAGCCAATTCAACCATAATTTTAGAAATTTCATCAAAATCATTGGATTCAATCCATTTTAGAGTTACCAAACCACCTATAAAAGAAATGAAACCGGCATACAACACATGATATAACGATCCCGTGATTTATTATTAGTTTAAAAAAACTTCACCCGATGCTGATAAATCTTTCCCGGAGATCCCATGCAAATTCTGTTTCAATGAGAACCAAACGGTTTTTCACTTGTCAAATTTAGAGTCTCGACTCCATAAATCTCACTCGATCGTCGCCCTCAGTCGTCTCTCTGGTACACTGAAATGTCAGAAATGGAAGTCCAACAGTCAACCTACGACATCGTCATATTCGGAGCTTCTGGTTTCACCGGCAAGTACGTCATTCGGGAGGCCCTCAAGTTCCTCAATGTACCGTCTTCTCCATTGACGTCCCTGGCACTAGCAGGTCGAAGCCCGTCGAAACTAGCCCAAGCTCTCGAATGGGCCTCCCACCCGAACCCACCGCCTCAGATCCCCATCCTCACCGCCGACACCACCGACCCCTCTTCCCTCCGCCGCGTCGCCTCTCAGGCCAGGATTGTTCTCGATTGCGTCGGTCCTTTCCGCCTGTACGGTGAGCCAGTCGTGGCGGCTTGCGTCGACGCCGGATGCGATTACCTGGATATCTGCGGTGAACCGGAGTTTATGGAGAGAATGGAGGCTTCTTACCACGATAAGGCGGCGGAGAAGGGTTCCTTGGTAATTTCTGCTTGTGGGTTTGATTCGATTCCGGCTGAGTTGGGTTTGATGTTCAATTCCCGGCAGTGGGTTTCGCCGGCGGCTCCGAATCGTGTGGAGGCGTACTTGAGTCTGGAATCCGACAAGAGGATTGTGGGGAACTTCGGAACCTACGAGTCAGCAGTTCTTGGGGTGGCTAACATGGACAAATTGCAGGAGCTCCGGCGTTCTAGACCTAGAAGACCTCGTCCAACGGTATGATTCTTTAGTCGCATTTTTATTATAAATCTGAGTCATCTAGTATTGGATTTCTTCAATGGAGTTGGATGGGAAAACTGTCTGTCTTCCCTCCCTATTGTTCGATCTAACCAGTGGTTTTAGATCGATTGGCCTAGAAAGACAGAAACTATGGAGAGAAGCCAAATCCTTAACCAGTGGTTGAAATGGTTGTTTGGCATTCTTTCTAGTTTCTACATATGTTCTGTCCTAATGGACTCATGTTATTTCTTTGTATGTATACAGTTATGGAATCACGTTCTTACCTTTCTTTGTGCAAGCTAAATGAGAATGGGGCCCTAAGTGGATGATGTTAGTACCTTAGAATGATGTTGTACTTTCTGTTTTGGCTGAAAAGGGAAACTGAGAGGGATTTGGGTCACTCAACTAGGTCATAAGACATTTGGGTTAAACCACACTAAAAGATATCCAAATATACAATCCTCAAACCACACCATGGCATCGAAATGGTAAACCGTACTTGAAATTGAAGTCATATGGTTCCAACGAATAGGGTGTCATCAAGAACTGAATTTGTGACCTGTGGTTAGGCAGTATATGATCCTCCACCCACCCCGCTATCCCTTTCCTCCGCATTATGATGATATACTCAAATAGATAGAAGGGTGCATCAATATGTCCGTGTTTCAATTTCTTTTTAAAAAATGATCAAATATTACTCCTAGAGTTTTAACTTTTATGGACAATTACACAACTTTATATATAAATATTTCCAAATAGTGGTTAAATAAGCTCATACTCTAATTTTATCTCCATCTCTTTTCTCCTCCCCATCAACTTCCCATCTGCCGTCATCTAGGAATGTGTTTAGACCAGTAAGCGTCATAAAATATTGCCTCTGGGGGTTATGGTGACATACTAAAATTGGCATATTTTGCGTCTTTTTTAGTTTTTTTATATTTTCTGTTTCTTTGTTAATTTGTTATAAATTTTTCCTTAATGAGACTTTATTATAAACCCCCGTTTCATTTTCACCATCTTGCACATAATGAAAATGCATTTGGTTCCAGAGTCATTTTTTCTTAAGAAATTGTTCAAAATAGGACAAAAACATGAAAAAAATTCAAAATAAGACTAAGTATGTTTTCATTCTAAAATATGACTTATAAAAACTTCCCAAAATAGGTGTGAATGAGTCCTATTTAGGGAAGAAAACAGTGACACTCCCATTTGACAAATTATATTTGGTTTTACTCCCATTTAGAGAATTTTCACTTTTTTCTTCTTGAAGTGATTAACATATATTTGAACCGATTCAACTAATTTCAGATTCCTGGTCCTCCCCCGAAAGGACCAACTGTGGAGCACCAAAAAGAGATCGGCCTTTGGGCTCTGAAATTACCTTCAGCAGATTCTGTTGTGGTCCGTAGAACACTTTCATCTTTGACTGAAAACCCCGAAGGTATACCGGGTGTTAACGAAAGTGTTGAAAATTTTGAAAAGAGGAGAGCCTTCTGGTCTACAGTGAAACCAGCTCACTTTGGCGTGAAGATAGCAACCAAATCTCTGTTTGGTGTGGCTCGTTACGTAACAATGGGATTGTTCCTTGCACTCTTTGGTAAATCTTCTATTGGGAGAGGGATGCTCTTGAGATTTCCTTCTGTGTTTAGCCTTGGGTTGTTTAGGAAGAAGGGTCCTACTGAAGAAGAGGTGTCAAGTGCTTCCTTCAAAATGTGGTTTGTTGGGCATGGGTTTAGTGACACCAGTCTTGCATCCCAAGGAACCAAGAAAGCTGACATGGAGATTATTACCAGGGTAATGGGACCTGAGATTGGCTATTTGACAACTCCAGTGACTCTGGTTCAATGTGCCCTTGTTCTGTTGAACCAGCGGGGTGACTTACCCAAAGGCGGTGTCTTTCCTCCCGGGATTATATTTGGCCCTACAGACCTCCAAGAACGGCTCCAGCAGAATGGGATAACATTTGATTTCATTTCAAAGAAGGCTCTCACATAAAAGACATAACAGATTTAGTTGTTTTGTGAACATTGAGGTCTTCCCTTCCAGGGAAGGCAAATATTCCCTACACAAATTTAGCTGTTTTATTAAACACCAATTTTAGTATTACGAATAACAGGGTTACACAGGTTTTAGTAATCAACATGACTCCCTTTTATTTTGGGGATAAATTGAGTATCTTTATCTGACTTTTCTTACAGGGTAGTTTTGCTTTGTTGCCCTCCTGATAACAATAGTATCATGAGAAAGTAATATATGTCCATCACCCGTGGAAGATCTAGGGGAGCATGGGCATAGGCGCTAACGCGCCCTCACTCAGCTCTGAACAGTATTAGTAGTTCTTTTTGGAAATAATTTAGTACTAAGGTGATGATCCGCATCCCTGTTTCTTATTCATTCTTTGTCTCTTATAACTTTGTCATGAAATTTTACGAGTTTATTGACTTGGATTAGTTGGATAGTGTAGATGTTGCTAGAGATAGATATTGTTGTGTTGAAGGAGAAGTATGCATGATTATTAAAAACTCAAATCTCAAAAATATTATTGCATTACAGTCAATAATTTGTGGCTATTTCTTATACTACCCTGTCTCACTAACAATGAGACATGGAGAGGTGATGTAGTTATTAAGAAAAGTGAATTTATGTGGTTGATATTAAATTGATGAAGTAAGAGTAAAGTAAGAATGCATAAGAATCACACAAGTTTTATCGAATTTGGTATAAGACAATCTTAGGGGTACATACCGAAAAGAAAAGATAAAACAATCTTAGCGAGACAAAGAGAGTACCATACCTTTTAAAATAAAGTCGCGTTTTAATTTACAATGTTTAAATGGCTTAAAGTAATTATTATTAATCATAAAATTGTTTCTTTACTAATACTACATAATAGTTAAATTAAGTCGATGACTCCATAAGTGCAAATGGTTGAATGGAGTGTACGTGGGTTTCTTACCTAAAACTTACTCCCATTTACTCCTTATGCCCCTTAAAACTTTGCTAACTTTTTTTGTAACTAATTTGTCATTTTTTCTTTTAAGCATATAATTTGTGGTTCCAGTTAATTATCTCTCACCTACACAACCATCAACCATACAATGTCAAAGTTAGCAAGTTTTAAGGGACATGAGGAGTATATATAAAAAATTCTTCTTGTACACACTTTTTTGTTCACATCATCTTACACACGTTTGTGAGCTGCTATTTTTTACGCCGGGTTGAATTTTTTGATGAAATTTTGTGAGCATGTTCTCCATGGAGTGTAGACTATCTCCATCAAATTTCAAGTTAAAATTCAATTGCGAAGTTAGATAAGCGATTTATCGAAAAATGTGCAGTTATATATATATATATGTATATATATAATGCAGTTTTTCCAATAATTTATTTAACTGATTTCTCGATTAAATTGTAATCTGAAATTTGGTGTAGATAATTTACACTTTATGGAGAACATGTTCAAAAAATTCATAAAAAAAATCAATTGAACGCATCTCCAATGAATGATGCCTAAAAATTGTAAGTTTTAGGCCTACGCCTACCTTACACGAAAATTTTCCTACACACACATATGGAACAGTTCAAGTGAGAAAGGACTTCCAAGAGAGAAATGAGAATAAATCTGAACCGTTGAATTTTATTATGTGAAACTAATTTGTGCATTTAATGAAATTGAAATGTGCATTAGATGCACATTTCAGTTTCACATTGGAGATCTCTAACTTTACTATTAGTATTCACTAAGAAGGTAAATACTGGCTAAGATTATCAACTGCAAAAAAGGTAAGTTGCAGAACATACAAATAGAGTAAGCAACTCGTTTGAAGACTAGAGCAATTTAATTGAAGACTGGAGCAAGTCGTTCGAAGCATGGAGAAGGGTTTTGGATGTTTTTTTAGCGATACTGGATGCAGGGAAGGCTAGGCGATTGACGATTGAAGGGAATGATTTTGCTACAAATGCAACATTCGTTGCGTGAAATACAAAATAAGCTTGATGAAGGTACTCATTTCCAACCCTTCTTTATTTTAATACAAACTAGTATAGTACCCGTGCGATGCACGGGAAATTTTATTATATTTGTGATTATAAAAAAGATAAGTACATTGAAAATCATTGAAAGTACATGCAAATGTGAAAATCACAAGTGAATTGAATGAGTTGACTCAGAGCCCGTTTGGTAACACTGAAATCGGCTGAATCGGCTAATTTTGCTAAAATTTATAAAGTTCTGATCCAAGTGGTTCCATTGGATGATTCTGCTGATTTATGGAAAAAAATATTTAAAATATATTTTATTGATAAAATAAAGAAAAGGTTATATGTTAAAATAGCTAAAATGGTCATCTATAGTAACTTCAGCCAATACAGACAGAAAAGTAACTCTGACCTTACTTTTTGTTATTATTACACAATTTGGTGCGCGATATCAAAATTTACGTGTTTGGTTAAAAAGTTGGCTGATAAACCTGATAAGCCGAAAAACAGAATCACCAAACGGGCATTTTACTTAATTTGATGATATTCGAATTTGATGAAAAGTGGTAATGAATTTGGCTTGAACTTTACATTTTTTTAATAATACACAATTAAATAATAATTACTTGTTTGATGAAAAAGTTGGGTGATAAATCAAAAATAGTCATTAAGATGCTCTAAACATTCAGATGAAAATGAATCAATGAAAATGAAAAAAAAATTGTGAACCATTTAGTTACGTTATAGCATAGCAGCTTATTAGCCCCACATCAGTACCAAGAATTGGGTTATATACTTTTATTATACGTAGTAGTAAATACATAAATTTTGATCGATAACCTCCTTTCAAAGAAATTTGATACACCAAAAATTATTGTGAACCCAGTATAGCACCTTATTAATCCAACTTCAGTACCCCGATTGGTTTCTTCCCTTGCACATTTTTATGGTTGCACAAATCCAATATTAAACCCATGATAAGCATAGCGTTGGCAACTTCTCGAAACCGACTACAAACCCACTTAGCCGCCCCCCTTCTACATTGACCATATCCAAAAAATTCAGAGCTTGCTATCGATCCGTCGGAACTTGGAACCATAAATCGTTCTTCTTTCATCCCCCAAAACATCAACCACAGCTGCCACAAACATCCTCATCCCCGATTCCCAACCTCCTTCGAGGGTCTTTTATAAACGCTGAGATTCAAGCAATTCATATATTCGTCAAAGTTCTGTTCAATATTTGAAATTGTAAGACTATTTTAGATTTTAGCTCTTTTAAAATATAGATGCTCTTTTTTATCTATTTACATACTCTTCTTTCTGCGTTTGCAATTTGTGTGGTCTAACTTGTTTAATTTTAGGCCATGTGTGTGTCGACAGTGTGTTTTTGAAACTCCAAACAACAGGATGCTTCACATGTCAAGTTTTTAATCACTTTTTAAAGCAATTTTGAATATTATTTAGATATTCTTATAGAGCTCTGAAGCAATATGTAGTTTCCATTTTGGGAACTTCATGAAAAAAGGTTTTTCCGTATTTCAAGATTCAGATGTATACTTTTTTTGCATAAGTTAACATAGTAAGCAGAATGCTCATGTATTAAAAAGTTAAAGCATGTTTATTTTTGTCAAGGAAAATATATTATAGAATTTAATTTAGGGTAATTTGTATTTTCTCTAAGATATTATTCCCCTATTATTATTATTACCATTAGGGAAAACTCATTTATGAAGGAGTTGTGTCCTATAAAGTAAGTATTCTAGCAAACATATTTTACTTCGATATTCATAACAGGTAGTCCATTAGTAAAGTTACTGATTCATAGTTATTATTCCCAAACAGTCAACCTCACATTTTTTTTTGCTTTTTTGTCTTTAAAATGTTTCTTAACATACTACTACATTTCAATGAAAGCTATATTTAATCTAATATTTTGATTGAAGCATGTTGGCCTTTGATTGAGATGAAAATGAACAAATCTTGGGGTTAAAACATTTTGAGGCTTATCAGTTTTGAGAGAGTGTTGGTGATGGTCGTCAGTATAAAAATAACTCACAAGATAAAATGATTGCATCAATGTGTTGGTGATGCATAGAAGTAATTTCACTTTATTTTGAATTTTACAGGTCTATATAGAAAGAAGTCCACCAACAACACCCCATACGTATTTTGGGAAGCACAACAGTCATCATCATGATATATTTAATGAAATGTTCCCTTTTAATTACTCCGTATACTTGAGTGCATTGTTTCCTAAGAATAAAATGTTGGAATTCCAATACAACATTCATTTATTGCATAAAAAAATGAACAACCTCCTATTTAATTCCGCATAGGAACGCTAGGAACCATGTCAGCGTAGTATTAATAGGAATAATCTAGAAGACATTAGAACAATAACTCTCAAACAGCTAGTGCACTTCCCGCTCAAAAGCCTTGCTGCACTTTTGCGTTTTAATATATATATAGATGCAAAAACATCAATATGAATGCATGTGGGATTGGAGCATTGAAATGCACATTATTGACAATATTATGATGAATAATGTGGGATTAGAAGTTGGAATTGAAATGTAGATTCCAATGTAGTTTGGGTAATGGTTTATGAGGAGATATATTCCACTATTGTAATTTTATCTAAAAATTAGATGAAAGTGTTTTATATGCAACATGCAACACTTTGTATTAGTGTAATTGAATGTTCAGTGTCTGACTTCTAATCAAGTACAATTATAAGATAAAAGAGGTGCAAGTGTTTTAGATAAAAACATGCATAATTTTGGAATATAGATGCATGATTGTTATTTGAAAAAACAAATAAACCTTTTTGGTTTAATTGTAGTGACATTAGAGTTGTAAGATGTATTTGTTGTGCTTATTGCAGTTGGAATGTAATAAGAATGTATGATGCATTAGAGTGAAGATGCAGACGATTAATTTATGAGATACATAATTCTAATTAGTGTGTCTTGTGTTTGTGTGCCATGTAGATGCATGATTGTATGATACAAGATGCCACTAAAGTAAATCGAAAATGAAAGTGTGATAACAATGTAATGCACAATATTGGTTCAATTTTGATAGAAGTTAAGTGCAACTTGTGTAGTTGTAAGATGCAATAGTTATGGTAATTATAGTTATAATACAAAACACTTTGAAGATGCATGAGTATTATGTTTAAGATGCATAGATTTAAGATATTGGATACAAAATTTTGATGAGTGTGACTTGTGCTGTGAGTCATGTAGATGCATAATTGTATGCTACAAGATGCATTTAAAATACACATGGAATGCATGTCTCATAGGAGTTTAATGCATATTATTGGTTAAATTTTGATTGAAAGTCAAAATCTATATGCTCACATAGAACCTTATTTATATTGTGGTTTTCGTATTTGACTAGTAAAATTTAAGCAGTGACATGTACACATAATAGAAAATGAAGAAGAGCATCAAGTCTTAGGAACAAAAAGAAAACAAGAAGATGCATGGACAAGTAACTTGCAACATAACAAAAAGAACAAAGGAAAGAGGGAAAATGGCAAAGGTAAAAAAAGAGCAACTTTTTGCGTGTAAGA